ATTAACTTTATAACCAATCAGGGTCACTGTCAGTTAACAACAACTAATAGTAACAACGTGATGTAAATTATTCGGGCTAAAAGATGATTTTTGTCCGTCACGTTTTTAACAAAAATGACGTCAAGTCGGCAACTCAGGCGCCAAATTCTCTCCAGGTTGTTGCAAAACATTCTCGCGCATTTTCCAACGGAGAAACTCGTTTTTTCATGATGTTTGTGACACCAAATGAATACAGAGTTAAACTGTACGTACTGAAATACACAGAGATAAAATGATCGCCATAAGAATAACCTCTCTACGCAGCAGAAATCCAAACATTAATAGCAGTCAAAGAGCTTCAACTTTCTCAGACTGTTTTCCTGCTCAGCCTGGAAAGCTTCTGATGCCTGAGAGGATTTTGGAAAGCCGACCGGACGTCAGAGGAGACAGATTTTGGCGGTCTTATTTTCTCTAAAAGTGACAGACGAATTGTCAGACTCTTTCAGGTGACCACGGCTCACCTCAGACACCCTTCGCTCTCTCTCTCTCTCTCTATTTTTAGAGCTGACGTCGGGCATCGTACACCTCTGATGATCTCATGGAAACATCACGCTCAAGTATCACAAACGAAGCGAGGAGTTTAAGGTCTGACAAACAGGACTCGGGTCCAGATTCCCTCACAGGTGGACGGCTGCTTGAACTGTGTCGAAGAAGAAAAATAGAGATTACTCAAAGAAGAAATATTTCCTTTTGGGGCAGCAGAGTTTCCATCTGGATTCTCTTAGAGCTGGTCCTACTTTGTTTCCCTCCTAATTTTTACTAAATAGTGAGATCAGGTTCTCTTATCCAGGACTGTTGAGGAGCATCCCACACAAATACACACACATGCAACCATCCACACGAGACACACAGGATGACACAGTATATGAGATTAGACTACACAGTTCTGGAAGATGACAGGTTCAGAAAAACAGAAATCCTACAGCCTGACCTCGACTTTAGCGTTTGTTGACATAATAATCATTTGGTTTGACTTTGCCGCCTTTGCTCGTCATTGGTGGATTAAGTTTGCAAGAGTTCTGTGAAATCTCATTATTAATACCATATCAGCTTTTTTTTTTTTCAGAGCCAACAAAAAGTGCTTTTAAGAAGAGAAAAAATGAACAGACAAAAGTTAGTTTTTAGGAGGAAAGAAGAGTGCAACTGGGCTTAATGTGTCTTATATCGAACTTTGTCACAGAAAAAGTGCTTGTGCTCCTAAATTGACCTGTTAATGAATAAAAATGTTGCATTTTCCATCTTCTGACATAAATTTGCAGACTCTTTTTCCAGCACTGGGTCATGAAAATAAAGTTAACTCTTTGGAAACTCTGCCCGAGGTGCTGGTTTGGCTCACCAGTCACGGCACACATCCCGTGTCTAGAAACCTCAGCCCTCCAGTCCTCACTGCTGCAGCGACTGGTTCAACTTAGATCCTCCATTACAGGCTACAGGGGAGGATCCTGATGGCTGTCTGTATTTCACTGTCACGCTTTCAGGAAAAGTGTGACACAACAAAACTTTCTGGGGTCGTAAAGATTTCAACCGGTGCGCCTCTCTTTACTCGTCTAAGAAAATAATTGAAAAACAGATGTAATAAATCTGTTCGGACTCCCTTTCTGACAGAAAAGCCCCAAACTTTGCCCACAAGACAAGAGAAATGTCAGAACATTTCATCCTTTGTTCACAAGTCCAATTTCAAGCCTGTACTCCGACGTCGTTCATCACGCTGAAGTGTCCTTGAGTAAAACACTAAATCCCTGAGAGCTTCAAACTTTCTTTTCAACGTCAAACTGTATTTTTTTTTTGTTTCTTATTCTTTCCTCTAACTATTGCATGAGAAGCACTTTTGGGCTGCATGTTTGCATGAAAAGTGGGATGAATACAGTTGAATTAATGGGAAATAAGACCACACTGTCTAAACAACATAAACAAACAATGGGGCTGCAATAAGGGCCTGTGTCCACTAACTGCATTTTTTAGGGCCCTGCTGCACAATCACCCAAACTTTTCCTCGACACACGTGTTCGTCACATGGAGATACAATCCTGCTTCAGTCCTTGGGTGACCCGCATATGTCCCCCTGATTCTACTCATTTTAAAACCACAAAGAAGATCCCGTTTCCGTTAGACCCGGTTTGTTTCCATGGCGCCACGATGAGTTTCTGGGTCACGGTGACTGAATTTACTTTTTTGGACAGTACATTAGAAAAATCAGGCGATGCTTTCATTGAGTAAATTAAATTCCTATCTAACTGAGGTGTACCGTACTGTTCCCTACATTGAGACTTCTGTGAACTCGAGCTACTTTTGGAGAAGCTCTGTCTTTGGACAATAGGATAAATCCCATTTTCTAACACAATGATACAGCAGTTAAATGGACTGATCTGCAGTAAAGAGCTATTTCTGTCTGATGACCTGACTGAACCACCCTGGCCTCTCCACTGTGCTGTAATGTTAGAAGCTCATATTTATGAATCCAGAGAAACATGAGAGATGGTGTCATTGATGGAGTTTCAGCCCGGATTAAATATTTCCCCTGAACTGTGACTTCTCAAACTGGGTCAATGGCTTTGGCTCGGCAGGGATTTCTAATTACATCGCCTGAACTGGGCTTTTTGGCTTTCCTTTGTGCCTGTGAATCCGTGCTCGACAGTGTTTCCATCTGATTATCTGATTTTGGAGGGCTTTGTTTGTTAGTATGCAAATATTTTTAGAGTCTGCTTCTCTTTCTGCGCCTGCTTCGCCTCTAAAGGACGCGGTGTTCACTGTTTGTCTTGGAAAACTACAGTTTGTGTTTCCAAGTCTTAAATTTAATTAACTCTGGAACAAAACAAGTAAGGTTTAATTTGTTAGTGGTCGAACAGTTTGTCCGTTTACTGAAATTTAATCAATTTAGTGAACCTGGGTTGTGATCAGATGGCTGTGTGGTTAAAATAGAGCAGGGAAGTAACCCTGTTATGGGCTCAAACAGGACATGTCATGATAATAAATGTAAAGAAATCAATGGAAAACAGGGTCTTGATTAAAAAATACAACTCCAATTCCAAAGAAACTGGGATGTAGTTTAAAGTGATAATAAAGACAGATGTGATGGTTTGCAAGTCGATGAAATTCTTAAGTTGGGAGAAAACGTAAATGTTGAAATCAAGACGATGTAAATTATGTTTTTCCAAATGTGTAGGGTTACTAAATCTGGTCATCCTCTTCAGAGTGAAGGATGATTTCCAAAACAGATTTCCATTCTTCACTCTCCAGGACAGTTTTCACCTCAGTCCGCCTTAAACTGGAAGAAGAAGTTGAGATGATTTTTGGATAATGTTTGTAGATGGTTTCCTCTTTGCATGGTCCAGTTTTAACCTGCATTAGTGGACGCAGTGACTAAAAGTGATTCTGAGACTATGCAGTGACTTCCACTGCAGAGACAGGTCTCTTTGTGGTGCAGTGCCACCTCAGGGCTCTAAGATCATGACCACCTTACACGGGTTTTTAGCTTCAACCCTTTTGTGCAGAGATTCTTTCATATTTTCTGAATCTTATAATATCATGTACTGCAGACTGCAGACTGCAGACTTGGCACCAAATTTAAAATAAGCGTACATTTTCATTGAACAATGACATGTCTTCTTTGGACTACTTTAAGTTACATTTCAGGATTAAATGATTTGCAAACAATCACAATCTTCTTCTACCAACATTTTAGACAGCATCCTGACTTTTTTGGGGAACTGGGGTAATGTTATAAGAGTTATCATCATTCAGCTGTCTTGTGTGTCCTTTGACCTGATCAGCAGCCTCTCGCCTTTTACAGGATTCCTACACAGTTCGAATTTCCATACTTTTCCATACCCTACATTTTAGAATTATTTTTGGAAACATACATTTTTTTTCTATAGTTCATTTTTCATTTTCAATACTTTTTAAGACCTGGAAATTGATCAAATTTATTTCCATACTTGCGTAGGAACCCTGCATTTAGCTCTCATTTGGTCTCCACCAACCTCAGGAGAAATGATGTGGCTTTACAGTTTCCGAGTGCTTTCTCTTGCATGCTAACTTTGGCGACTAATCGGGGATATATGGAGGAAATTTTTATGCTATAAGGTTGAGATACAGGCAGACAAACGTGGGATGATTTACGACGGGGACCAAAAGGCAGTGATCTCTAACTCTGGTTTTTAAAAGGTCAGAGAGTCTTATGAGTAGAGGTTAACAGTATTTTCCTTTTCTATGAATATGAACAAACAGAAACACTAAAGCGTGACCCCCGAGGTCAGCAGGAATAGAGGAGATAAATATAGTGTCACCACAGAGTGAGAGTTAGCACTGTATGGGTCAGGAGATCACACATGTACACACACACACTCACACACACACACACTGCTCCGACACTATCTTAATGCCTGTTGAATTATTCAGAGGAAGCTTTTGTGTGTTTTAGTCCATGGAAACCTCTGAACCTGCGTGAATGTGAGCGAGCAGCCTCAAAAATCTTAATGCACTCGGACAGTTTAGGTCAAAGATCTAACGCAGCCTTCAACCTTTTCTTTTCAGCTCGGCGAGGATTTAGTAAAGCTGTAAAGCGTTGACCTGGGACACGTACAGGTTGATTCAATTCCCTTCTGAGGAACGTGATATGAAGTGTGTGATGCCTCTAAAATAAATATTGTTCTCAACTCTGCTTCTTTTCCTAAAAATAACACTTTTGTTTTTCAACCACATACTCGACTTTTTTTTACAACTTTCTAAATTCTATCATCAATCTGTCAGATTTTTTTAGGGGAAACAACAAAGAGAATCATGTAATGATCAGAAATAGGTCCTATGGATGTAAAATAGCTTTGGCAAAATAATTCGTTTCATAGACTCCCAGTCATTGATCACATCCATGGCTGTGAAACTCCTAAAAGTACCACCCAAACTGCTGGACCTCGAAACAAGCCGGAGCTCGCACCCAGAGCCCGATCAGGCTCTGTTTCAGTTCAACCAGGACAGCTCCGCCAAGAAATCCAGTACAACAGACACAGCATCAGAAAGACGGAGAACTGGTTTTCTGGTCCACTGGGTCCCTGGCCTCCTTTAAGGACCACAGAATGAGTCATAGTCCTCCTCCGGGCCTCTAAAGTCCCATCAGGGTTTTGTTTTTGGAGCTGTGTACTCTCCCGTCGACTCTGTGGTGACCTTGTTTGAGGCGTGGTCTTTGGAGATGTGACTGAGGAGTCATCGTGGGTCACAAACAGGACTCGTGGGACTCTATGTAGGTGTGCAGAGACTTCTTCTCTTGCTCCATGTTGTTCCCGTTGTGAAGGACAGCGTACCTGCGAGACAAAAGAGGGAGGGGTGGTGGACAGGGATTAATGTCGGGGTCATTTATCAGGAAAATGACTCATATTCGCTTACTCCAGGTAGACAGGTATGAGGATTTTTTACATGGACTGTGGGTCGGGTCCAAAACACGAGATATGAAACGAACTAATACAAAATGATAGGAATGCAAAGATAGGGTGACCATACGTCCTCTTTTACCCGGACATGTCCTCTTTTTTGGGGGCTGTCCAGGGGAGTTTACAGAAACCTTCAAATGTCCGCAGTTTGTTTAAAAGTTTTTGAGTTTGTGTCCTGTGGACTTACTGAGTTAGAGGCGCGAAAAACACTCGACCTGACCCGGAAAACTTTCAAAATTTACTAGGCACGACTCACGACTCAGTGACTCATAGATTTGTCTTTGTTTTGGGGATTCAGAATATGGTCACTGCTGCTACCCAATCCGACCCAGAAACCCGATTTGTACTGCGCTTGTGTGAAATGTATGTCACTTCCTCTTCTAGCCATCTTTGCAGCAGCTCAGCAATTCTTTGCCCCTAGCGGTTTGCGACACTTCAGCATCAGCGAGCTCGCTACAGTCAGAAGGGACGGTTCAGTTTATTGATACTTCAGTTTATCACCCGCCACACGCTTTTCTCTTCTCCTGAACGGAGTGCTTCCCCCGACTGAAGCAGAGCGCTGAAAAGTCAAATGAATGCCGCCCAGTTTTACGATTTAAGGTTCCTACTACAGTTTAACTGTAAAATTGCAACGTAGTTAATAAATTTAATTGATAAAATTAGTGAAATGAACCCCCCTTTGATACTTTGAAAAGTCAGAGAACCATCAATTTGACCGGGTGGTGGCGATCTCTGTGGCCCAAAAGGTCTCACCATGCTGGGCAGGAGCTCTGGCTAATGCCAGGGCATTAGCTCTGGAGCCTCCTGCTAGCTAGCCTGTCACATCGCCAGCTTGTTTCTGAATCGATCGGTACTTTAAATAAAGTTTTTAAGGTCAAGTAAATTTGCACTTGCGCAGTACGGATCGGGTAGGTAGCGACTCATTTGCCGTAAAATACATTGAAATGCCAAAAGAGGAAGTGGCGTACGTTTCGCACATGTACAAATCGGGTTTCCAGGATGGATCGGATAGTGACAGTCACACTAGCAAAGACCTCTAAGTATTCAGACTTCCTGACTCGCCCCCTTCTGGTCATTTGAAATAATGCAGATTTACGAAACTTCCACAAGAACTTCAATCTTAAAACAAGAAGCCATCTCTGCTTTCTAAACAGACATATTTTCAACCATAGACTGATGACATGAACATAATTTGGTACATAATGGGGACCCTTGTGCCTTTTTCAGCCAGTCTAAATGGACCCTGAGTCATGCAAGAAAGGTTTAGCAATGGCTTTTACAAAAATAGAAATCCATCTACAAGTTAAAAAGACTAAAACCATCCAAACCACACGAGCTGGAGCAGAAATATAACAGGCTGAATCGTTGAATAAAAATGTCCATGTTTAACGAGACCAGACCTGTGCCCTCCTCTGGTCCATTTACTGTCAAATTCAGAGGCTTTTGTAAAAAGGTAATACAATTAGTTAGAGCCTCATTACCTTCTCCTGAGGGTAAGTGAGTCATTTCTCAACATTGTCAGATTCCTGCTTACTGGAAAAATGATCACGCTGTTGAATTACGGGAGGTTGACAGGGAAAAGTTGTCAAAGCTGACCGCAGGAACGGGAAATCGAAGGAGTGACAGTAAAAAGCAGACAAAGGAGGTAGAGAGGGTGAATTGATGTTCTAAAGAAAGCACATCAAGACTGACCTATTTAAGTGTAACACAACAGCTGGTTAAAGTCGAAACATCATTCAGATGAGTAAACACGAGGGTCTAAACATTATGCCCACGATGTGAATAAGTGCAGAGCAGAACGACGTGTGAGGGAAAATTTCAGTGATTGAACGAGTGCTTTTATAATCCTCCATCAGCACGTCTCACCGCCTACACCGGCACAGAGAGATGAGTCATAAATCAACCTCCTGCATTATGTTGTGATGAAAAGCATCATCAGCGCTGGACACTCAGAGCTGAATGAATGAATGGAGGGCTAAATCGGTCTTAAATGAGGGTGTATGAGCAGGTAGGAAGCTTACAGGTCATGCAGAGACGTCTTTGGTGGAAAAGCTGTAAATATGGTGTCATTTTTGGATCTTAAATCCAGGTTTTACTTTTCTTGACTGTTTCGGCTTTTTAGTCCAATCTGAACTTTTACATTTGTTAAGTTTTCATTACCTATTAGCTATTCTAGACAGAGTTAAACTTCAGAGCGGATTTTTCTTTGGTAGGGTTTGGTATCTTGAAAAACAACATTAATGCTGAACAGTGTGAACAGTGTGAACAGGCTTTGGATGAACATTTGCTGCCTTACATATGTCAGAAAGATACAGAAGAACATAAGGGCCACTAGAAAACAAACAAACAAACAAACAAAAAATTATCATAATTCTGAGAAAAACAGTCAGAATTCTGAGTTTAAAGTCAGAATTCTGACTTTGTCGCCTCTGTCATCCACTCCTACGTTCAGTAACAGGTAGGACATGGACTCTTTGTGGGTGAGGTGGACAACCTAAGAGAATCATGCCCAGGTCCACTGTTTTCATCTTGGTAGAAAAAAAGTCAGAATTCTGAGATTACAGTCAAAATTCTGAGAAAAAAAAGTCAGAATTCTTACTTTAATCTCAAAATTCTGACATTTTTCTCAGAATTTTGATTTTAATCTTAGAATAATAATTAAAAAAATATATTGGACCCTTTTTTCTAGTTGGCCTAATCCGCCTCTGTAGAAAGATGATGCCAATGTTTAGCAGCCGAAATACTTCATTACATGCACCACAGTGATAAACCCGCTCCTGTCCTAAAACCTTCATGAGCTCATATTTCCCACAAAATGATCAAATCTTTCATTTTTAACAATTGAAATGATTTCCTTGCTCTACTTTTAAAAACATGTCAGGTTTAAATGATTTCTAAACCATCAGAAGTGTGAGTTTTTAAATGTTTCAGTAGAGTCATGAATCACCTTTTTTGAAGCGAATGAACCATTTAAAACTCGCCGCATAATCTGAAAACTTCCCTGTCATCAAGCTGAAAATTAAATCTCGATCTGACAGAGAAAGAAAAAGAAACGGATGAAGAAACAAATGTCAATATTAAGATTAAAGAACGACACAACTGAATAAGTTTGGGTTCAGTCTCCAAACTTGAAGCAAAACACGATGTTTTTCTGTCTCCTGCTATAAGTCACTTTAAAATGTTCAAGAGAGCGATTTCTTTCTGCCAAAGGAGCAGTTAGCGGCACAAAAGATGAGCGTGACGCACTCAGACTCATTGCTTCATGTCTGATATGTAACTGTAAGTGCTTCTGGTAAACAGACTGCACAAACAAGTCTGAATGTGACATTAGTGCACAACAAGAGTCAACGCAGCTCTCGTCATGAGGCCTATCTGCTAAAACGAACCATCAGAGAAACTCATCTGGACGCCATAATGAGCCTCGGTTGTATACAGAGTGGAGGCTCTGCTGCATCTGATTGAGAACAATCAAAGTCTGTGCTGCACATGCAGGAATACACGTATGCGTTCATGTGTGTTTCATTTCACAAGTGTGTGTGTGTGAGAGAGAGAGAGTCTCAGGGTACTACAGAGGTCCCACCGCGGGCTAAAACCATTACAGACTGTTTACACAAACACCCTGACCAAAGACACTTCCTGCTGCCAAACTGGCCGTGAAATTTAGCGTCCCGACAGCCGAGGACATTAAGAGCTTCTCAAAAGGAAACAGGCAGCAGATTCTCGTCGCAGCAGAACCCAAAATTGCTGCCATATTGTGGCGTATAAACCCTCAGCTGGTCTCACTGCTGCTCTGAGCGCCTGACGATGTCTCTGCATCTGCGCTTTAGTGGAAACAAAGATGTTTAAGAGGCTGTAAGGAGAACTAGGGGAGGTTATTGATGACTTTTTTATTGATTCTTATTGTGGTAACTGAGGAAACACATTAATTTTCATGTCATGTGCGTCTCTGTTGAGTACAAGCTAATTAAACGACTACAAGCTGAGGCTTATGGTCTTTGCAGCTCACTTACAGTATCAGCTGTCTGTGCTGTGTTGCATTAACCTCAGTGGGTTTACTGTGACTCTTTCATAATTGAGTGTTTTATTCTTTATAACACTGAAATGATGCTGAAAATGATGCTACAATATGCACAATAAACGGCTCTTTTTAAATACGGAGAAATCTGTGCAGCATCATTGACATGTAGAAGCTTAAATCCTGATATAGACAGTCTATTTAAAGGATAAAATGTAGTTTATTTGCAGATTTTCTCTCTCTTTTTAACCTTTATTTCTAAACCACCATGTATAAGTCTCCATTTTTATCCCCAGGTCCATTATAGAGGTTTTATTTTAAAGGTCCTGTGAGGAGTTTTCATGGTGCATTGATTCTGACTGTCTCTGCAGATGAAGTCAGTATTCTTCCCCAGGACAAAGACTGCATTTCCCATGAGCACCATCAACCATTAACGTAAAGATGTGGCTGCCTCCACAGCTTCCAACAAATAAACGGTCCTCAACTTGCATAAATTGTGTCAAATGTGTTATTTATAGCGATTTATGGTGAATATGTATACATAAAAATGTGAAAACAGGACTGTTCCCCCAGCTGCTCGACTACACCTGTCCCCCTCACCGGTTTCAGGTGAAAAATTACAGCATAAAAACATTCAGAGTATCATCACTAATGTATGTATGTCAGTTAAAGCATCAATATGAGTTTCATTCACATCCAAAAACTCCCCACAGGAGCTTCAATCAGTCATTAAACAATCCCAAAATTGAAGCTGGTCTGACAGAATGAGGTGTATTAATATTTGGGAAGAAATGAGAAATTATGTGAAACAAATAAATCATGCAGAAATACTAGAGACGAGACAAAAAAAGGTGAAATAATGATAAAATGACATACAAAACAATCACTCACTACCATCATCGTCTGAAATATTGAATTCATAACGGAGAGGATATGAATGAAACTCCATCATGGTACAGAATCCTGCTCATTAAAATAGGGGAGACCGGGAGAAGTGAGTTATGACACCGATTCTGCACGTGCTCAGTTGCAGTCTCTCTCTCTCTCTTTAAACAGAAAAGTGGTTTTACCGTTTAAAGGTCCTTTTTTTGGCTGTACAGTTTTTTTTTCTGCTATCTTAGGCTGAGAATCTAAACGTAGATGAATTTGATTTCTCTGCTTTTGGTCAAATTTTAACATGATAGATCCACCGGTTCTAGTGTCTGGCACATGAAATTGAATCAGATCAGAGCCTAGAAATCAAAAATCTGATAATCTATGTAAGAATTTAGAAGATTTAATGATCTGTGCATGAGCAGTACTCACATGCAGAACTGTTTCATCCAGTATGTCTTTTGCAGCATTTGGATCACATGACATTTGGAGCCGTACATGTGGTCATATCCATGCATGTGTTTACATGTGGGTTTGTTTGTACACAGCAGAGAGCCAGCGGGCCGACTGGCAGAGCGGGACACAGGATGGAGGTTTGTTTAATGGGGCCAGAGGACAGAGAGAGACAGAAGGCCTGGATTACAAGCAGACTAAACATTTCTGCACATTTCAGGCACAAATGTGGCAAACATTCATCTCGATTCAGCAGGATTTTACATGTGAGAATTCTCTCAAGTGTTCCTGCAGAGGGGCGAGAATGAGAAGAGAGCATCTCCCAATCAACTGCAATTTGCTGCAGATGCAAAATAACACTGAAGTGTGCAGATATCAGATGTGCAGAGCTTTAAATCACAGATCATACTTGTAGTTTACTGAGTTTGAGAAAGTGAAAGCGTTAAAAAGTGAAAGTGTTCTCATTATTAAGTTAACACTAAGCCGCTCTTGTTGTCTTGCTTCTTGGCTGCAGAGGTTGTAGTCAATTGAGTCTGCGCCTGATGATAACACCACTTGGACGTTAAAAATGAACTCTGAGGTTAATGTGAATTGGTCTGACCATGTATTACACCACTGCATTAACCTGAGAGTTAACCTCTGCAAATGAACACTCCTCTGATAGTGCAGGAGGCGTCTTTGCTTTTGGGTGTATTAAGGAGATTTTTACTTTAAGTACTTACAAAAGCTTTACAGAGGTTAACACACGGGGCGGCGAAAACTAGTGCAGAAAGTTTAGCTAACAAGAACCATAAAAGAAGTTCGACTCTGCAACCTTTAGTGTGTCCGGATATACGAGGGAAAGTCAACGCTTTGAAGGTTGAGTGACGGTGATTTCCATTTAAAGAGCGTTGAAGAAAACAGCTCTCACATTGTCGAGTGACTCAGCCTTGACTCTCGTGTTTTATTCCATCCAATCGCTTTGAAAGAGATAACAAGGTCTCAGTTTCTGAAGCCAAAAGTTTTTCTTTTATCACCTTTTCATGCGAGCAGAAACATTGAGGTGGTTTAAAGTTCAGGTTTCCGGAGCTTTTCACAAGTGCTTGAGTAAAACACTTGAGTGAGGTTCAAACTTTTGCTCCTTCGGACAGAATCTCAAGGTCCAACAGGAGAGAGGACGGTCTCTAGTTTGGGGGGCTCAGAATTCCTTTTATACCTTTTGCAGATGATGTGGTTCTGTTGGTGTCTGCAGGGCTGGGGTCTCCAGTCAGCATTGAGACAGTCTGCAGCCAAGTGCAAAGCAGCAGGGATGAGAACCAGCAACTTGAAGTCTGGGTTCTCTACAGGAAAATGGTGGATTGTGAGACTGGCGGGCAGATTGGTGCAGCATCAGCTGTAATGTTGGCATATTACTGGTGAAAAGGGAGCTGAACCAGAAGGCAGAGTTTTGGATTCATCAGTCCATCTAGAGTCCAGCCCTCACCTTTGGTCAAGAGCTGTGAGTATCGACTGAAACACGGAGATCCTGTATACAAGTGACTGAAATGAGCAGCTTTAGAGATGGTTTGGGGGTCTTGGACATCTGGAGGGAACTTGGATAGAGCTCCTCTGCATTAGAAAGAGTGAGGTGCAGTGATTTAGGTATTTGAGAAGAATCCCCTCTGGGCGACTCTGTCCAGAGGGGCTCCTTGTGCATCCAACTAGATGAACCCAGAGCTTATTGGAGGGATCATACTGTATATCCAACCTAGTCTGGGAGCTCCTCAGAGTCTCGCAGTAGAGGGATGTCTGGGTTGACTTGTGCAGACTGCTGCCAGTTGGAAAATCAGTGTTTATTTTGCCATTTCTGACAAACCTATGAATAAAATCTGAGATTTCTGACAGTTTAATGGATAAAATCATTCCTGTATTATTCAGCAGTAAAAGTGACCTTTTTAAAGCAAAAGCGGATGGTCAGATTTGGTGGTAAAGTGTCAAAATAGAGAACTATTTGTCCCCAAACAAATCCCAGAGTGTTTCCTTTAGCGTAAATAACAGAGGAAATGTAAATCTTCAGTGCATTGCTCATCTGTTTCTCTCTCCAAGTGAGGCGATCTTTCTCTTGAAGATGATTGGTTGCTGACACTCGACCACTCACACGCATTCTTCATGTTAATATAGGTCTCAACGCCTCTCTGTAACCCCTCCAATCACAGCATCCCTCTCTTTCCCTGTCTCTTTCACCTCTTCCTCTGATGATCCCACTGAAGACTTCTTTCTTTGCCATGTATCAGAGGAGAGGAAGAAGAGAAGAAGTGAGGTGATTTATGCAAAAAGTTTGCATCCATGAAGGAAGTTTGCTTCTCGCCTAAAAGCAAAAATAAAGATGCATGTGTTTGCAAGAGGAACCCAACTTTCTAAGTGTTTCCTAAAAGGACAAGAATATGGATTATTCATGAATCCTTGTGTTTACACTCCTCTAACCTTGACTGTAGATTTGTTTTTGTAGCCAGGACATCTAAAAATGTGCACAGGTAAGCAAAAGGTTCACAGGTTTTGACTGTAAAACGAATTACAGTAGCTTAGTGTCATCACCTCAATTATACCGACACTGAGTAATGTTAGGGTTGGAAAAGGCGAGGAGAGAGGGCATAGAAAGGAGAAGGAGGCAGAAAATAAATTAAAAAAAGAGGGCAGTTCAGGAGGATCCAGTTTTAGGAAGAGAAGTTTAGAGCACCAGGAAGGTCATGGCGTCCATTCAAACTGCTTTTATGGATAAAATGAAGCAATAAAAAGGAATTAAAGCAAGACGGCAAACAAAAAATGACTGCATTCAGTCAAAACCGGCATCTAAAAATCCAAGATTAACAGCTTTAAGTTCACAGACATCGAGTTCTGACACCAGGTCTGCTGGAGGAATCAGAGTGTCGGCCTTTACCAGGATCAAATTTAACAGGTCTGTTTCTTTCTTAACGCTTGATGAAGCTTGTCTGAAAATACGTCAAATCATGAAGGATGAATTAAATAATAATAATAATAATAATAATAAAAATAGCCATCAAAATTAAATAAAAAAATATATGAAAAAAATATCATGAAGGAGAGCTGTGAGATATCTACCAAAGAGTAAAACAGAAAGAAGTGAAATGGAGCAGAATGAGTTATTCAAACAAGGTCAGAGGAATAAAAAGGGAGGTTAACAAGTTAGTCAGAGCCGCCCGCGGTCAGTATGTATCAATTAAGGCCGAGTCTCTAAGACGAGAAGATGGGAAGAGGTTCACCACTCTGTGAGAGAGAATGGTTGAACAATTTCAGAAAATGTTCCAGAACTACATTTAAAACAGACAAGACTCTGTAGTGGTAATCGCCACATGGGCTCAAAACCTTTTCATCCATATGAACATGTTTAAATAGTTAAAATATGATATGTTCAAAACCTTCAAAGTTCCTCAATTCACCTCAACCCACTCCCAGTACTTTACCCGTGAGGTGGTCACTGGACTGTTTGCTCTGTGTTAGAATTTAGCTCAGGAGCTCAGGTCAGAAAAGGCTGTTTGTGGTCAATTATTAACAGATCTATCTGCTGACTAAACAAAATAGTGAAGCTCCTATCAAGTGGCACTGAAGAGGACATCAACAGGAAGCAGAGATTCACAAAGACGGGATATTTTAACAGCTTATATTCAAGGTTTGAGTTTCATTTGTTTTGATTAAGTCTTTTAAATGTAAGCTGATAGAGTGTCCAGGTTTCTACTGTTATCTGCTTTATTTTAGACGTACTGTTTGATTTTATTGTTTGTTCACTTTGTTAAAGAGGTTGTGAGCCAACTCAGATGAGTTTTCTTTGTTTGGACAGGCTGTAAAGATGCACAGTATCTTCAGCGGTTGTGCACTTGCAGCACTGCTGCTGGCTGCAGCCTGGGCAGACCACCAGCTGTCCTCCCCCAATGCTGACTTTGCATTTGCCCTCTACAAAAGTCTAAATGCAAAGACTTCTGCTGGACAAAACGTCTTCTACTCGCCCCTGGGCGTCTCGACTCTGCTGTCAATGATCTCTACAGGGGCCCGGGGTAAAACCCACAGCCAGCTTCTCTCCAGCCTGGGCTTCGGTGCCTTGAACCAGACTCAGGTCAATGAAGCTTACAAGCATCTTCTTGACATCCTTGGACACGGCCGGGGGAACTTTCAGTTGGATGTTGGTAACGTTGCTGCTTTCCGCTCTGGCTTCAATCCTCTGGAGAAGTTTCTGACTGATATCAAACACTTCTACACCAGCGAGATTTTCACCGTCAACCTGAACAATCCCACGAAGGCTGCAGCCGAGATCAACAGATTTGTTACAAATAAAACCCGGGACAAGGTCAAAGACGTGGTGAAGGATCTGGATCCTGATACGGTTATGGTGCTGATCAACTACGCCTACTTCAAGGGTAAGAAGCAAGATTCATGAGTTTTGGGGTTAGCCAAGACAAACCGATCAATCATTAGCGATGTTGACGTGCAGTAAAACTCATCAGACATGTGCACCTTGTACAGGCATGTGGAAGAACCCCTTCGACTGCTCGTTCACGCAGAAGACGGACTTTCACTTGGACAAAACCAACCAAGTCGAAGTGGACATGATGATGAGAGCAGGAAGCTACAAGACCTACTGGGACAGAGAAAACAAAACCACCGTCGTCATGCTGCCGTATGAGGGTAAGACCTCCATGATGATTGTCCTGCCTGAGGAGGACAAGATGGAGGAGGTGGAGGGCTCCATCAACAAGGACTCCATCAGACACTGGAGGAACTCGCTCTACATGAAGTAAGAGGAATCTCATTTACTGGTTGTCTGTGACTCTGACATCGCTAATGTCCTCTGTTTGTTTGTTTGTTTGTTTCTCAGCTATGTCACTTTGTACCTGCCAAAGTTTTCCATCTCAGCTGACGCCGTCTTGGAAAGCACCTTGAGAGAAATGGGCATAACCAACGCTTTCGAGGACAAGGCTGATTTCTCTGGCGTATCTGAGGAGTTAAAGCTCAAAATCTCAAAGGTAGGAGGATATTACTCATCAAGTTTAGGGTTAGTGATTCATGATACAGTAGATAAATGATGTCCGGCGGTCTCTAACGATCATCCATGTTTGTTCCACAGGTGTCCCACCAGGCTGCGCTCAGCGTCACCGAGATGGGAACAGAAGCAGCAGCTGTCAGCACCAAAGAATGGATGTACTTCAGTGCGTCCCCGTCTATAAAAATCAACCGGCCCTTTTTGGTTTTTATTCTGGAGAGCTCTACTGGGAGCATCCTCTTCATGGGAAAAATCAACAACCCTCCAGCTCTACCCGAGGCTCAGATTTGTGAGGAAGAGTTTACACCATTTCCTGATACGTGACAGACAAATTGATGATTGATCACTGGTCTTTCTACAAAAAGATAATAAAAAAAATTTAATATAACATGTTAAAAGCTCCAGTTAATCATTTTCTTTATCTTGAGCAGCCATGGACTACTGTTTTTGTTATGTTCGTAGGCTGCTGGGTTGCCAACTTGTTGGCTGTATTGATGTTGTTACAGGATGTCAGACTGATGTTGCGTCTTTCCTCTATTTTTTTTACTCAGATCTAGAGAAAAAAGATTAACGACAGAGTTTAATCATCATGTGATCTGGTTGGCTAAAGTCCAGCAATGCTGTACACCATCTTCATTGTCTACTGTAGATGCAAAGACAGGATTATGGTGCTTTTCTAAAGTTGGGTCAACTCTTCCTGGACGAATCCTCCAACAAACCGAATATCAAATGATCCAGGAAACAAAGGCAGGTCTGATTCTGATCATAGACTGTATAGACTATGGACAACTTGGTTCCGCCTTCCGTCAGTACACGGATTTGAAGCCATAAAGCTCTTGGTATTTACGTTTTTTTTTCTCCACTTCCTGAAACCAACAATAAGCGGAGCGGCGTCGTACGCATTCAGTCTATGGTTTTGACGCACTACTGAGAGGATGACTCTGCAGAGTTGGATTTGAGCGCCCAAAACCCCGGCTGTTCTGCTTTTCAACGCAAAAACACCAAAGATTTCACCATCTTTTCTTTCAAAGCCCCCTGTTCGGATCTGATGACAGCAGCTCCCCCGCTGAGCCGTGTGGGATTAGACGACAGAGCCGAGCTTGCTTTGCAAAGAGTCACTCACTGCAATCAAAAACTTCCTTCTCTCTTCTGCCGCTGTGGTTCTATCTGTAATTTAGAGGGAGAAGGAAGGAGGAGGAAGGGTGTCCATCATTACCCATATAAGGGCATAACAGGGCACTGCATCAGAGCAGGAAGGTATCAAGTTGGCCGCCTGATATCAATCTGTTATTTCATGTGTTTTCTTCCTTCTTGATAAGAGTTTTCAGCCTCTAGAGCTCAATCAGATGCAGCAAATGTGACAGACCTGAGAAAGTATTTAATCTGAAATGGACCTTTTACTGATAAGACGGATGATACTCTTTCAACAAGCAGCCACTCGAAGAAACTTTACTTTTGTGGGAACTACAGGGAACATTTTTAGTTGAAAGCAGCTGCACTGAGCTGACCTGCAGGGCTGAGGCTGCAGACATTAAACCTTCGGCTCAGTGTGTCTCAGAATATTACAGCGGATTTTCGCCTGGACACGAGCACTGAGGCATGAGGGTGAAAAACACAGACAGGCAGACCTCTGGGGATGTTAACACAACCTACTGTCCTCTACAACAGCACACAAGCAAACACACAGGAGTGCGACCACTGCGTTACAAAGGGAGCCGTGGTGTTTCATAACACTGTACATGCAAATCCCTTCAGCTCTGATGTAAAAGGTCGCTGTTTGAGATTGTGGCTCACAGTGACGTCCAGCTGATGGTTGACCTTTGATACTCACCGTCCCTTGATATCAGCCTCATGAGTGGGATGAGGAGAAATCAGCACACTATGTATGTGTGTGTGTGTGTGTGTGTGTGTTTGTGTGTTTACACCCAGATCATGATTCATTCCAAGCTTGTAATCATAACCAAAGGTGTACCACAAGGATCCGTTTTAGGTCCACTACTTTTTGTGTAAATCACTTTTTATAAAATGCCGTTTTATGTAGATGATAAAACTTTGGATTGCATTTTGAAACCTTTTAAAGTTTTACAACCTGCTTTGGATTATTTCAGACTTGTTTTTAACGCTCATGAAACTAAATTCATGCCGTTCTCGACTGCAAAGGCATTGGTATTGAAAGAGTTGAAGTCCCACTGTGGACAACCTTTTTTTTTCAGTGGTCTTTAAGTTGTGATTATGAAGTAATTTTTTTTTTTTTTTTTTTTTTTACAAAAAATCACGTTACCTGTGTCATTTTTAAGGTCTTTTCTACTGTAAAGCTCCAGTAGTTCATTAGCAACTCACCTCTGAGTCGTGGGCGGAGACAGCGCTGCTCTGCACTCTCCTCTTCATGCTAACTTGCAGCTTAACATTGCTGGTGTAGTAGAAGTAGCAGGTAACATAGGAGCTATTCAGCTCTCAGACACTAATGTCTTTAGAGGACATGATGAAAGTTAATAGCATTGCAATCTGCTAACGCACACGCTTGTTCCGCGATCGTCCTCTCTGCCTCTCAGAGTCTGGTCTGTATAGTGGGGCTCTGGGGGCGGAGCTTGGATTTGTGATGTAAGAAATCTCACTTGATCTGAGCCTGCTGTTTGGGTCTGTGAAAGATTCATAGAGATTTGAATGCAGAAATACCCAGAAATGCAATTTCACGCTTAATTTTCTCATGATATGTCCTGTAGCATCAGAAAAATGAACATATGAACATGTAGACAACAGGAAAAACATGATTTTCATCAGAGTGGGTCTTTAAGCGGTACAAACATCTTGGTAGATGGATAGATTATAGACTCATATCACACAGACTAATTAACTGACAAACTATAATTTAAAATGTCTTGCAGAAAATTGATAATTGATGCTCATTTCTCTGTTTTGGACTAAATAAATGTTATCTACATCAATGAATCTGAATCTGCTCTTAAACTTCCAGTTACTCTGACTCTTGTGTTTGCATCATTCGAAGAATTAGAGTTAATTACTGTGAATATTATCACCAGAAAACACCAAAAGTAATGACTCTGTAGATGTCGGCCTCCCTCACTAATTCAAAAGGCAGTGAGACGTTTTTATTCTCATATCTCTGCTGCTGATTTCATCCTGTCTTCTTCAGATAACCACTCGGTTTGCTTGTCTTGTCAAATGACATCCTCCTCCACTGACTAAAGAGGCTTTCTGGTCTTTTTCAAGTGGGAGGACATTAACCAAAGCGCCCTCGGGGAGGGATTGCACAGACTGTAAGCAGTGAGCAGGACTGCAGCTGGCACAGAGAGCCGACTGGGTCAGGGTTCAAACAGAGCTGAGAGCCGATACGCTCACCTCAACTGTGAGTCGTTTTCTGATTCATGTGTGGTTTGTTTCAGAGAGAAAAAATGTGTATTAGTGATATTGCTGTTGAACACATAGTTGACGTAAAATATGATCAACTTGTGTGCATTATTCAAGCCTTTTAAGTTCAACCTCTAACGCATTATTCTTGTGCAAATGTAGAGAGAGACAAAACCGGGACGCACTCAACAGACAACATCACTAAAAGCATTACTTATAGTCAAAAAGGCACCAGGTCTCTTCAGTCACTGCAATTCTAGCTGCAGAGCTTTTTATGCAACTACAAACAAAGTCAGTTTTCCGTTCCTGACCTCAAAACGCTCCAGGAGTTCATCTGAGTGCACCAAACTCCACAAACTGTCCTGACTTCACAAACACTGACTCCTGAGTCACCTGGTCAAAATCCTTCACTCCAAATCTCTCAGAGAAATAAATGAATCAGTTTCCTTTGATTAAAACACCACAGCGGCTCATTTTCTAATCTAATATCACACAGGATTCATTGAAAAACAGTCGTCTGCACTGAAGTTTAACAACAATGAAAGCCGTGATTAAAAACATCTTTTCAGGCTTTGAAAGAAAGAGTTTCATAAAACAGAGTTTGTTGGTATAAGCATTAAAATCTCATCTGATTTCACTGTAAGCTCTTGTTTTGAAATGTGCCTGTAATCATCCCATTATTTAAAACCAATGTTTGTCCCTGACCTGGAACATCACGTAGCCGGGCGTCTTTTAATCTTGATGAGACTTTTATAGACGAGCCTGTCGGCATCCGAACAAAGACGTTTAGTAATTTGAGTGTAAACACTTCTTCTGACAGCTTATTGTAAATATCTCCCGTTCGCCAACCTTTTTAAAAACCGATGTTTGGCTATTTTACTGAAAAAAATCTGTTCCCCTGTCAAACTTCAGAACAAACACATGATGAGAGTGTTTAAATAATGAAACATGCCTGTTGGCAGAGCTGTCCCCACAGACACGGCTGCCAGGAGAGGAATCCTAATGAGCGCACAAACACACACACACACACACACACACACACACACACACACACACACACACACACACACACACACACACACACACACACACACACACACACACTGAGGCAGCTGGTGTTTACCTCCAGACCTCGCCAGCTGAAGACTCATCGAACATTTATATCCTGTCAGAGTTTTGTCCCGCCAGCGTCGCCAGGTTAAAACTCAGACCACACATCTATCGTCTCTCCCCTCAGGTAAACTCAATCTTGGAAAAGTTAAAAGAAAAAAAAAACACCAAAAACAAAACGGATGAAATGTGAGATGGTTATCGCAGTAGAGTCTTTTTCTGTGTCATGACAGGAGGTACATCACCTGATCCATGAAACTAAAATTGTATTTAATCAGCTTGAAACTTTGACTTGCGGACTGAAAAAGGAGGACAGGATCCCGAGGTGGTTCCTCCTCCAAAGAGGAAAATTAACTTTGATTTTGAACCGATCTCTGAGTCGGACTGGACTTCTTTTAGTCGCTTCGATGTGAGGGCTTTCTCGACCACCATTTTAGACAATGAACATTAAGGCGGCACGATTAATCATTAATGTTCAGATTATTTAATTATGGCGTTGTTAAAATATTAAAGTCCTCTAATCGATTTTCCTCTCTATCATGTCTCGCGCCTCCAGGCCACCGTAGGCTCCCCCTTCCTGCTGGATCGCTTCCCAGTTCCCACACACACCTGTCTAAACAAACGTGGCGTTTGCAAAAGAAGGCGATAATTTCGTGTTAAATAGGACAAGAGCGAGTCAGTCGTGTGGTTTCAGACGAAGAGCAAACCACTACCCGCTGCAAAGTCTGTCTGAAGGCAGTATCACCCGTCCACACGGAAACAAATTGCATACGTTTTTTGAGGGATTGGCGTTTCATCCACATGGAAACGGCGTTTCAGGTGACTGTAAACGGTACTTTTTGAAAATGGGTCAGAGAGTGAATAAATCCGTAAACGACGACCATTTCACCTCCGTGTGGATGTCTATCTGCATCTCTGG